ACAAAAGTTCAATTATTGGCGTCATTGATTTCATAGAAAAGAAAGGACGAAGAAAACGTGTGAATGTCATCAGTAAGAGTTAAGACGGACAATAGTATATTCAGTCTTAGAAAAATAAATAGTGAGTGTGTAGCTTGTTCTTAACTACATCTAATGACTTTATAATGAAACGTTTTGCAAGGATAGAATATGAAAAATATCACCATTATCGAAATCGTACGAATAATTTTTGCGTAGAAAACATGCATAGTTTTCAGAGATTGACTTTTTATTTAACATGGACTCAGTCATTAACGTTGATTTTTATGGTGTAAATACTGGACGACGTGGCGGTTCTTTTGATAACCACCAAATCTTAAAAAGCCCGTATTTTGACTATCTTTGATCGAAAATGAAATCGCACGAATAATTTTTGCGGCATCTGTATATCAGATCATTTTGAGCCACTTCTATGTTCTCATCATAGAGAGATATCTTGAAAAACGTATGGATTGGTACACAATGCTGGTATATTCTACATAGATGCACACGTGCCGTATCGTACATGCTCATATGCTTGTTTATAAACAGCAGTTCGCCTATACCACTCATGTTTCAAATAGAAGCGTATTTCACATGCAATGGGTCTTGGGGAAGTGACGATTAGAGTTGACCTTTCCAGACTTTCATATTGACTTTATGTTCAATGAAATCAGACAAAAAAGTTCAACTCTGAGGGTAGTCATGGACTAACCTGTTTGAATCTCTGAGAAACTCACTATTAAGCACACTGGAAATTTCGAACTATTTTGAGTCAGAATTTACTCTCTTAAAGCTTGTTCAGTGACTTGAGATTCTTAGATATATAATCAGTGGCATTTATTCGTGTGTCCATTTTCTTTCCTTTAGTCGATTTTATAATTTGTTTGACAACAAATGGTGTTATACGTTGGAAATTGTACATTGAATCAGTAGCTGATATGATTCCTGTTGGTGCATCAAATATTGTTTCGGATCGTAATGGTACTTTATATTATTCTGTATCATGGACAGGAAATGAAGAGTATACAGCAAAAATATGTCGTATTACATATGCACAAACAGATCATCCATATCAAGAATGTATAATAAATTATGAATTATATATGGATATAAATTCACCATTAGCCATTAATGAAAAATTTAATTTACTTATAACAGCTGTTGTTGATGATACATTTGAATCTGTTCCAGCTGCTATGAATAAAACAACATTTGAAATTTTATGGATAAATCGAAATTATTTTGGTGCTGGTATGAATGGCCATTATAAAATCGATTCTAAGACTGGTCATATGTATTGGATTGGTGGTGATGATTATCTACTTAAATTTAATGAAAAAGGACAAAAATTATTTGATGGTGATAGTCATTCTGGTGGTGGAAGACAATTTGTACTTGATAATGATCAACAAATAATTGTACGTTCATGGCAAAATATGTCCGATATACATTGGCCAATTGTTGTTTCATCATGGAATGTTTCCAAACAATTTCAATTACGGTGGAATTGGTATGCACCAAAATCAATATCGGAAAATGACGCAATAACACAACCAATTATGAATGAAAAAGGTATAACATATTTATCAAGTATGCCATTAATATTTGCATTATCAACAACTGGTAAAACATTATGGGCAACCAAATTAGCAACGAATGAAGAAATGAAAAACTTTGAATTAATATCATGGTGTTTATCAATGAATAGCCATACAGGTATTTTATATGTTGTAGCTGGTTCACCATTATTCCATAAAGGTGATGCTGTTTATTTCATAACGGCTGTACATATGGATACAGGAAAAGTATTAAAGCGTATCAATATAAACCATGGTATAGCAAAAGTGACACCATCTTGTCCTATTCTAATTGGTAATGATATGTTCTATGTTTTTTGGTTAACTGGGCAATATCCCGATTTAGTACCATTGAAATTAGCTGGAATACCACAAGTAAAACCATAATTTCTCTTTTTCAATAAAAAACTAAAATTAAATTGACTTTTCTCATCTTATATGAGACGTATGAGATGCGAAAACGACCAATCGAGGTTGCTACTGTATCACATATCGGACTTCTATTTTTTGCTATGATAGTCCATACATATTTGTGAAAATACAAATTACTCATTTAGTATACAATAGGGTGTGGGGGTGTGGGTGGGGGTGGGTGAGGGTGTGGCTGAAGGCGTGGGTGAAGAGACAATGAACACCTATAACCATCAATCCACTAACACCGACACCCACAACCACCCACACCCCACACCTACACTGCACACCTCATGTCCACACCCCACGCCTACACCGCACACCTCACGCCCATACCCACACCCAACACGTAGGATATTTTAGGTCAGCATTCGCTCCAAAAAAATTTCCAAAATTGTCCAACAACTTTCCAAGTAGAACTCGACGAGCTCTATCCAACTACATTATTCATTTTTCTCTATACCCGCTCAAACCGAGAAAATCCCCAAATATCATCAAAAACACGTGTAAAATGCAAACAATTCTCGAAAAACTTGTCGTGATTCTTCCTGGAATGCTTTCCAACTTAATCATTGAGTTTCCAGGTAGAGGGTGTGGCTGGGACTGTGACTGGGCGAGGGTGGTAGTCTTTGTTATACACACCACACACCTACACCCTTATTTCTTCTTGTTCATAATATCAGATAAATCTTTATTTTAGGCTTTTTTCGTATTTTGAGATGTTTTCGAGATAAATGTATTTAAGAATATATTTCGATCGTATATCAATGAGTAGATTACATATTTCTGCGGGTGTTTGTGAGGACAAGTTAGGTGCGATTCGATTGTTATTATAGACCTTTTGGGTTTTAGTAGTTATCTCTAAGCGACTTTGGGTTGGTTTTACATGTTTGGAGAAAAAAAATTGTTAAAAATAGTTTTTTTCGAAACGATACTTACAGGGTGATCCAAAAGTCTTGGTACACCTCAGAAAAATTGTTCGTTCTCCCTTATAGTAAACTCGTAAATGCTCAAATTTTAGTATCTTATTCCTTGTAACATGGCGAATATTATCCTAAATTTTCAGCTCTCTATCCTGACAAATAAGGGAGATATATAGACTAACATTCTTGAAATCTTCTTTTCTCCATGTCGCAAAAATAATGGTTGGCACATAATACATGTAAACGGACTGTCTTTACATTTCATTTTTCTACCACTTGATACGTTGTATTAAGAAAACAAAATACATTATAAGATGCAGCGTGAAAAGCTCTACAATCTACACAATAAAGTGTATTTTAATTATATAGTTTTTGGTTTCATAAAAAAGCAAAACTCTATGCAATCGATGTTCGTCCTCGTAAAAAAAATGTTTTTTCTACACGAACGAAAGATTCGTTGTTTTTTCACCCTTTTTATCACCTAATAAATTTCATTAAGAAAAAGCAAAATATATCACAAGATGCAGCGTCAAAAGCTCTACAATTTACACAGTATAGCATATCTTAATTACGTAATTGTTGTTTTCAAAAAAAGCAAAACTCTGTACAATTAACTTAAAAATTGATCGCACAAATTTTTGCTTTTTCTTGAAAACAACAATTGCATCATTGAAATATGCTGTACTGTGTAGATTGTAGAGCTTTTCATGCTGCATTTTATAATGTATTTTGTTTTCTTAATACAACGTATCAAGTGGTAGAAAAATGAAATGTAAAGACAGTCCGTTTACATGTATTATGTGCCAACCATTATTTTTGCGGCATAGAGAAAATAAGATTTCAAGAATGTTAGTCTATATATCTCCCTTATTTGTCAGGATAGAGAGCTGAAAATTTAGGATAATATTCGCCATGTTACAAGGAATAAGATACCAAAGTTTGAGCATTTTGGAGTTTACCATAAGGGAGAACGAACAATTTTTCTGAGGTGTACTAAGACTTTTGGATCACCCTGTATTTAGGTCAGAATATAGGATATCGAGTTCTGTGGGTGTTTGTGTTGGTGGGGGTCATTTTATGATCTTTGTTGACGGTATAATTTTTCTCTGGCTATAACAAACTGGGTGTTTGTTAGCAGAACTTCGGTGAGATTTTGAAGAGTTGAGTGCTTGCATAGATACAGGTACCCTTTTTATTCGAGTGAGAAAATTTAGCAAATAAAAATGAAGGAGATTGTCTAAATATGAATGCATTGATAAACCATATGATATTTCTCGACTATGATAATTCCCTGTGTTTATTATTTTAAACGTTTTTTTTAATAGACAAATTTGCATCGATATATATCGAATTTGTATCATCAGAAAACAAACAAATCGTTTCAATCGACAAGAACACGATGTCATATTGAAATAGAATCTTTGAATTTAAATTAAATTCCTTCTAACAATACAGTAGTTTGATTAAGTTACGATAAAATATACTATTATTCAGGATAATAGCTTACTAGAATCGATTCAAACAAAAAAAAAATCAAATAGCACTCGAATATTCAATGTATTTTTCTCCGATTGACTCCTTAGAAGTCTTTTAATTATGATGTTTTCTTCTGAAATGAATATATATCTTTGTTTCAATGTGCATGTACTCATTATAATGCATTATTTCTATTTCTGCAACAAGGACACTTTGCAGAGTTTCAAATTTTAATTCTATTTTTCACTTTTTCTTATGCGCTCAAATTTAGAATGTTTATTAAAGTTCATATAAAATACTAATTGACTGTTATCACAATAACAATTTTATGACTCATTTTTGTTGTATGAATACAACAAAATTTATGAGAACAAAAAAAAAAAAGATCGTACGATGATTGTTCTTCCACTTGCCAGTCGCAATTACATATGATAAGAGAAGAAAAAGTGATGTCAAAATAAATATTGAAGTGAAACAGTAGGGATAAAAATAATAATAACGTCTTATCTTTTTTTGTTTTCTCTTACGCACAACAAATATAAAAGCATTATCGAATTCATTCGTATCACGTTCCACAAACATTTCGAATAAAATGAATTTTGAATTATTACCCAATGAAATAATACTTGATTCATTCGAATATCTCTCTTTTATTCATCTTTATCAAAGTTTCTTTGCTCTCAACTCGCGTTTTAACAAATTACTTTGTCAACAATTTCAAACATTTCATCGCGATTTACGATTAACATCAAAAACAAATTTTCATCGAGTATGTCAAAACTATGTTCTACCAGTTATCAATCGAATTATTTCTCTTAATCTTTCAAATGATGATAATACACCACAACAAATTGAACATTTTCTACCTCCTAATTATAAACTTCGTGAATTTATTTGTTTAAAATCAATATCATTATCATGTCTTAGATCTCAACGAACACTCGATCAAATAATGGTTGAATGTTCTGATCTTCCTTGTCTCACCCATTTTACTTTAACTGATAGTCATGTATCAATGACTGAAAATGATGCACAACGTTTGTTTGATCAAATATGGAGTCTATCAAAACTAACTTACTGTTATCTGGATAACTGTTTTGTTAATGAGAATTATTTTCCCAATCCAACAGTTATTTCTACATCGCTTAGACATTTAAATATTCGAAATATGACTTGTTTCTTGTCTACACTACCTCGTTTATGTCAATGTACACCTGATCTTAAATATCTTTCAATCATGTTTTATGATGATTCTGATCAGTTGAACTCATTATTACCTATTCTATCAATTACTCGATTAAATATTTGTTTTGAAAGTTCTATAATTATCTTACAGCATCTTTTACAAAATATGCCTAATTTATATCATTTAACGGTAGAAACATATGATTTTCTTTTAAATGGAAATCAATGGAAAGAAATGATTAATAAATATTTACTAAAATTAAAAATCTTACAATTTAAGACAAGACCTATAGCCATTGGCGAATATGGAGAGATTCAATTCAATGAAATCCTTGATTCATTTCGAACAAAATTTTGGATTGATGAACATCAATGGTTTGTTCAATGTCATTTGCTTCGTCAAGATAAACCAGATACACGCTATTATATTTATGTTTTTACTTTACCATATGCATTTAAAGATTTTTCTGATGTTAAAATTGTATACTATCAAAATCGACTCGTCCATATGATAATGAATATTTGACATGCGATCGTGTGATTAATTTACATTATAAATCTTCACATTTCACAGTTTCGATCCTATCTCAGGTTCGATTTTGTAATATTCAGTCTCTTTCATTATCATTACCATTCCATGATTTATTTTTATCAGTAGTCTGCAGACTTGATCGACTCATTTCACTCACCGTTTCCATAGGTAAAAATGGAAACCTTAATAATATTCAGTCACAACTACGACTCTTACTTGATCGGGCAGTTCGTCTTCATTCATTGCGTTGTTTTTATTGGCCATTATCCAATCGTCAATTATTACTGATGGAAATCACAAGTACTTCGGTTCGTCGACTGGATTTACAAGGCTACATCTGTGATTTTGATGAGGAACAATGCATTCAACTGAGTCATTCACCTTTAGGTATTCAATGTGAAACACTTTTGATTAGAGTTAAAAATCGAAGAAACATACTTAATCTTGTGAATAATATGTCTAATCTTCAAGCGTTAAATGTTCAATGTCTAGATGATAATTGGACAGATGAAAATGATTTAACATCATCGATAGATGATGAACTTGTCGAATGGTTACGCCAACAATTACCGTCAACATGCACGATAATGAGAGATACGTTTCGTGTTCACGACATTCGATTATGGATTCGTTGAAATTTATCTCTAAGAAAGAAAGCTAATTTCATTGATCATACATAAAATTTTCTTTCTTTTTCATTTGACAGTTTCTTGTCATCAATCGAATTAATATAAACCAGTTTGAATTGAAGAATACTTTAAAACTAGGATAAGCATATCTCAGATATGTATATCCCTGAAATCAACAAATTTTGTGAACCCTGGAAGGTGCAGCCGTTCTGTTGTTATCCAATCGTGTTTATTTACTTGTATTGAAGCTATAAATTGAGAATTTGACTTCTGTTAAAGAGAAAATTCAAAGAATTTTATGTAACACGTTCATATTTTTTTTGCTCTGATTAACTCAGGAATTGTAACTTTTTTCAATAACCTCTGAGTGTGGGTGTATGGGTGAAAAGGTCAATGTTCATCATCTCACACCCACACCCACACCCGCACTCCATTCGATCTGTTCACTATTGATAAATGTCGAAAAAAATGAATTCGATATTGGCCGTTCTATGTTAACGATGGTTAAAAAAAATATGTTCGTGATGAATCAGATGAAATTTTACATGCTAAATATCAATTAATTTATACTGTTGGTAGTCAACAACAAGTTGATGAGAGTGCAGAACATTGGAAAACTATTCAACAAATTCTTGAATTAGTTGCGAAACATTCTACTGATATTTCAAAATATTTTAGTGAAAAAGTATGTTATAAATCATCTGAACGAAGCAGTGCATTCCCACAATTTCGTTTACAATTGTATGAACCATATACATTACTTTGTCAAAAAATTGCTAACGACTAGATCGATAGTTTACATCGATAAAGCAATCATCTTAACATTTATCCTAGAAACACATTCATCAGTTTATCTCAATGTTTCAATCGTTTAAATGAAGAAGAAACTGATCCAACATCGATATTGGAATTTATCGTCATCTTTGCGATCAAAAATAATAATTGGATTTAGTAGAACTAATGATACACAATTATTACTTCCTGCTCATATTTGTCAATATGATTTATCAGAACTTCAAAAAATAGATGCAATAGTTGTTAATAATTTATTAAAAAGTGAAAATGAAAATTATCAATTTTTACCTATCAATGTAACATATTAGAACATATTTTACAAGTAATTGTAAATTATAAAGAAACTATCAACGTTATTTTAGATGTTAGAATGTTATTTATTGATGGAACTAATCGAGATATTGCTGTTCAATGGTTGAATCTATCCGATAAAAATAAGATCGATTATGTTGCTTATTTTGTTTTTGATTCTATTGTTGTTTGTGATTGTCAGTAGCATCATTATTCATTTGCAATATATCCCGCGAATGAACGATCAGATCGTTGTATATTTTATTTAGATGAAATTCATACTGGAGAAACTGATTTTAGATTTCTAATAGAATTTAAAGCTGCTGTTACATTAGGAAATGGTTTAACAAAAGATGATTTTGTTCAAGTATGTATAAGAATGAGAAACTTAGGTAATAGTCATTCGCTAACATTCTGAAGTTCACGAACAAATAAAAAAATTAAAAACAAAATCTTTGAATAAAAATGACTATATCAAATTGATTGATATTCTTCGTTGGGTCTATGAAAACACTCAACAATCAACTTGGGATGATTTACATCATTGGGCTACATAAAGTTTAAGTTTTCAAAGAAAAATTTCTACATTTCGACATATCAATTGGAATGATAATCAACTAACGTAGATAGATATACTTATGCAAGACTTGCCTAAAGAATGTTCTGAACCTGAAATAATTGAACTTATAAGTATGTATAGATCTTCGAAAAAAACTACAAACATTATTCGAAACTCATCATAATCGATATCAGCAAACTTATCATTATGTATCGAAAGAAATTAAAGATGTAGTATTAAAACAATTAAAAGATTATGGTGGAACAAAACAATGTTTATCACAATTGTTAGATGAAGAACACCAAAGAGAGTTAGAACAAGAATTAGAAGAAAAGCGTTCACCACCTGTTACAACATGTCAACCTATACTGCATGAAGAAATAAAACAATTGTACGATATGCATAGTTCTATGATGAATTTAAAACAACATCCTATTGTATTTCGTCATTTACCTTATGCTTTTACTGGCGCAACATTTGTTAATGATTGTTAAGCTAATAGTTGGCGAGAAAATCTTTGGATTTCAACTGAATTTCAACGTGTAATTGCGACTAAAGGAGAATTATTAAATTAATTTTCACATCCTCCACAATGGATTATTATGTACCGTAACCAATATTTAATTTTTCTAAGTGCTTTAGAATCTAATTAGGTACTTGGTCGTTTAAGTCTTCTTTTTCATCAAGAACAATCTAATAATCCATCAATCACAACATTACGTTTATTATTACCTCGTATCAAACAAGTTCAATCGATTGTTTTTCGTTAACACGCAAAGTCTTACAATTCCTCCATTAATTGGACATCTTAATGATGCTGTTCCTTTCTTCATACCACTTGAATGGCTGATTCAATTATTTATTTTGAAACAGTTGATGAACAAATAGCTTATTGTCGATGTTTAAGTTTATGTCCGAAACCGCAAACGGTGGTAGAAGAAGAAGCATTTAAAAATAGTTGGATTTCTGTTGATGGCTTTGTCAGTAAAATTCAACATCGTCATTATTTGAAAATGCATAAAGTTCCATTCCATCGCATCTTACTAATCTTTGTCAAATAAATCATTGAAAATCGAAATACTTCACATGCACCTATAATATCACATGTTGATAGTATTATTCCTAATTCGCTTAAACTAATTTAATCATGTGAAAATTGAACATACTATAAAAATATTTAGTCCAGAGAAAAAGACTTTTTTTCTCATAATGTCAATGAAAATCTACTAATAGAAAGAAACACACACAATAAATCATAAAACACCACTCATTCAATGATAGTCTACATTCTTCGAGTTGTAGTGATTGCAAAATATGAAAGTACTAGAGTGTGCGTGGCGGTGTGAGTGTGGATGTGGACGTAGGCTAAGAGAAGACCTACACCCACACACCCACACCTTTACACAATGTCGGATATCTTGACCATTTAATTCGCTAAAGTTCTCAGCGAATAGTTTTTCTATCCGATCAACGAACTCCTTGGTAACTTTGCCGTTTATCGAAAATTGTCCATAATGCGTAAAATATTTGACCCCTATCGAATAGAATAATTCAATTATATACAAAAAGCTGGCAATTCAATGACCATTCTGTACACATTTTTCTAGTCTGGCAGCCAAATGATCATTGCTTTTTCCAGTAGCACCTTAAAAAAAAGCATATGACTTCATCAAGACTAAGATCACCGTACTTCTTGTCTTAAGATCGTCGCACCATTGAATCATCAGTTCATTTGCATCGTTTGCGAAGAACAAATCGATATTATTGATGAGGCTCATAGTGAGGATTACATTGCCATTCAGTGGCTAAATGATAGTATGCTCGAGCAAAGCATTAGTCATCGTTCCAGTCGCCTGCCTCATCAAAACACCAATAATCAAATCACCAGACACAGTTCCCTAGTAAAAAAATAAAAATAACAGAAACTGAAGATTGATTTTCAGGACGCATCAAAACGTTCAACTTAGCATCGAACACCTGAACTGTTTCACTTTTCAAATGCCGTGTAAAGTTATGAGGTCGATCATATAGAGCCAGTGATTGACTTCGGCAGTCGTTGGTTGCCCACTCTCGATATCCTGATGGCGGTAAAGTATAGCCCATGTTCTTGAGTACTACATCAGCTTCGTCAGCAATCAGAAATCGTGTGCAACCGCAAAGACTGTTCAACAAGCCGGTGTAGGAGTGATCCTTTAGTATTACTTTATAAAATAAAGATAAAGAAATTCGGAGTCGGAGAATCTGAATTTGTAATCGGTTTTTCGAAGTTTTGAGTTCGATCTTTTCCAAAAAAACTTTGTTTTACGAAAAAGTCGTTGTTTTTACTAAAAATCATTTTTCTACTATAAAATTATTTTTTCGTAGAACAAAATCTTTTTGAAAAGTGTTAACATCGGTTACCTTTGGTCAAACTTTATAAAAAATCATTATTTTTCAAAAACTCTTTCCTTGATGAAAAAACTGGAACTCAAGATACCTCTCCTATTTGAGCCAGGAAAACTGCTCACGCTCATGAGTGTGAGCTGTTACACTCCCTACTTAACACTTAATACTTTATGTTAAAAAATAAAGCGGCGATCGTTAAACTCTTTTTTATTAATATTAAGTGTTAAGTAAGAACTTTAAATTTAATTTAAAGTTAAATTAAAAGGACCATCCCTAGGTCCTAGAACTCTTCCAATCACATTGTCCCTTATATAAGTATCCTTTATTTCTTTATTTTTTTCTTTATTTGTTAAAGACAAAGGATTTCTTTATCCTTAACAAATAAAGGATAAAGTTAAAGGATTTATTTATCTTTATCCTTTATTATAAAGGATAATAAAGACAAAAGGTCACTCCTAAGCTGGTTGGCCTATTATCATCAAAATAGATTATTTGATCATCTTCTACGCGTTCCTGTGGCGATGACTTGAACTCGTGCGGCCGCCAAATGAGAAATTCGTCGATTACATTCCGAACCAAATCCAAGATAGGTGATTTCCCATATACTATAAGAAACCAACATCCATATCCACTAATAGTTTGCAGGCAATATTTTACAGAATTGTGCAACAACAATATTATACAAATTCATCAGTAGTATCACCTTGTTGGCCCGATAAACTTTACTATTTTCACATATAGCTGCAATAATATTGAGCAAAGCCACCACCACCATTGCTTCGTCGTGTATTTGGCTGCAGATGATACAAGCTGTGACTGTGAACAAAAGACTAGCCTGACATCGAATACTTTTGCTCAATTGTTTGTACTCTAAATATATACTACATAATCAGATAATAGTCAGAGGAAATGTCGTCAGAATACTACTGAACGGGTCGTCAAAGACACGAGGCTGTTAGTTACTTGTTCAGACCCAAATAGACAAGAAAATCCAAGGTAACTTTTGAAAAAATCCTTTTTTTGAAAGCCAAAAAGAAATGATTTGAACAGAAACTAGTCATTTGTGTTGAATATGCATCCAAGCATATCGAAAATGCGGTGAGAACTGTGAGAACACTATTTTTCGGTGTCAAACCTATTTTTTTATTGCTGTTGAATTCAATATTAGGAAGAACGTTTTTTGATTTTGCTTTTTCCTATTATAAAATTTGACAACAATACAATAGTATTTTTTAAATCGAAAATAATATTTTTACAACTTCCACCCACTTTTCGATATGCTTGGATGTGCGTGCAACGCAGTTGATTGGGTTCTGTTAAAATTGTTCTTTTTATCTCACAAAAGTCGTAGATGTAGAAAAAATATCAAGCTATTGAATCGGCTCCTAGGCAGCGCCCCATACTGCAAGGTAGTCGAAAGACAAGGGTATCCTTCTTCTTTTTCTTCCATCTTATGCATCCTCGAAGCTCGAATACAGTGTCTTGGGAGCACATGCGTAAGAACTTAACCACTCAACCGTGATAATCTTGTGCGAATGTTATGTCATAGAGGAGTGTCTTAGAGTGTTAATATGGTTTAGAATTTGTTTCTGTTCCTTTGACATTCTTTCATAAAATCTCTTCGAAGTTTTCAAATTGTATCCTAAAAGAAGTGATGACGAAACTTTTTTCTATTTTCAATTGTATATGTATTTTCAGATTTTTGGTTTGATTAGATACACTATCAAGGCCGACTAAGTATGCCAGCTGATAAAAGTGACTCGGATTTTTTTTCACTCATTTGGCTCGGAAAGGAATCTGAAACTATGCCGAAAATCAAATTCACAAATAAATTTACAAATTTAGTTGAATTTAAAGAATACATTACAAATAAAACAAACTCTTGTATAATAATGCTTTTATCGGATGATATACCGTTCAATAGCATGTTAATCAGTCTGCCACAGATCTGTGCCATTTATAATGAAAAGTTCGTTTGTTTATACTGTCAACCTACAATGGCATTGTTTGTTCATATGTATATGAAGAAAAAACAAGAAAAGAAATCAAAACATTGTGCTATTCCATTATATCTATCGTATCTATTGCCTATTATTCGCAAATATTGGTTTCTTATTGGGTTAGGTTGCGTTATTGGTCTGGCATATGCATTTCCAAATGTCGGCAAAACCGGTGGCTATATTCGCTCTGAATGGTCCATTAAATGGGGATGTGTCATACTAGTTTTCTTTTTGAGTGGTTTGTCACTTCGAACAAAACTACTTGCTAAAGAATTTCTTCATATACGCCTTCATGCCGTCGTTCAGATCTATAGTCTACTGATCATTCCATTTACAATTTATGGTTTAGGATTGTTGCTAACAAGATTGCCGATCAACAAAACATTAGTCGCTGGAATCGTTATAATGGCTTGTACATCCACAACTGTTTCCAGTAATGTTGTCATGACGAAAAATGCTATGGGTAATGAATATTCGGCACTGCTAAATGCAGCACTTGGCAATGTTTTGGGTATATTCATATCACCGGCTCTTGTCTCCTATTTTATGAGTAATCCTACTATTAATTCTTTGCCAATTAGCTCTAGCGGTGGTAAGACTAGTCGACTAGACTATAGAAATGTTATGAAAAACTTAGGTTTGACTGCACTTCTACCTTTATTTGTCGGGCAAGTCATTCAGTTCTTATGGACAAAACAGGTTACATATGTACGAGAAAAATTTCACTTTTCCGAACTAAATAATCTAGCTATGTTAGCAGTAGTATGGTCGGTATTTTGTACAGCTGTTGCCACTGAATCATTTCAAACAATAAACGGAAAGGATCTTGCCGCCTTGATTATTATTAATGCTGGAATATATATGATTTTTTCACTATTAATCATGATCACTGCAAGAATACCCATTCGACATTGGCAGTTCTCACGAGAAGATACAGTAGCAATCATGTTTTGTGGTGCGACAAAAACTATAGCCATGGGAGTACCATTAATAAACAATCTCTATACTGGTGAAGATCAAGAAGTAATTGGTTTACTTTCGTTACCATTGATAATTTATCATGCTGAACAATTGATTTTGGGTGCCATTGAAGCGTTATTGCTGAAAAAATGGGTGACAACCGAAATCAAGAAACAATCAACAATGGTGAACGATAACATAATGCAGCCCAAGATGTGCCAGCTAACAACAATAAGTATAAGACTTTGATAGATCATTTGCTTACCTGTCTCATGTGTCGACTAACATGAGAGCAATTCAAACATTTAAAAATTCATGAAGTCACGGCTACTGACTGAAGATATTCTTATAGCCATTGTGTTGATTGAATGGAGTCACTGACTAGGGTGCGCGTGCAGGTAGATGTGGGTGTATGGGAATGGGGGTGGAGGTAGGTATGTGAATATGTGTCTTCTCTTTATCTACACTCATATTCACACCCTTAAATAAACACGCTAAGGAGTTATTAACTTGAGTGTAGTAACTCATGAACAAAAAATGTAGTAACATCGCTAAGAATTAGATATGGACAAGATAGTTCGAGTCTCGTCGGAACCAAGGTTGGAACCAAAAACTATTGATTTCACTTATGTCTACTTAGAACTATTATTGTATAGTTACAAGAGAAAAATTGATATTTTCTGAGAATTCAGTAAAAAGAATTTTCAATTTTGACCAAACTAATGGCAATATTGGACTCAAAGTACTAAAAAATATCCAATCATTCTGAAGAAATTTGATTCTTTTTAGTATTTTGACCGTAGCATTTTTGATTTGTTGATGAAAACAAGTAGATATTTTTATTGAAATGATTAGCAGAAAAAGCTCTACAAAATTGGATATGTCAGAATAACAAAATCTCAGATCTCTGCATTTCTTGTCACTGAGTACTAATGGAAGTAATGCTTCTGAGAAAAAAGCCAACTTTTTGATGGAAACAGATAATACTAAATTTCAAATAAGTCAATAAGTTGATGATTTATGAATAAAAATTTGCCGTCTAAGTCAAAATACAATGGAAATATTCCATTAGTTTTTTTGTTTTTGTTTGATTATTTCTCGTACGCCTGGTATTATTACTTATAAAACAAATATCTTAGCATTTTATTCTATAAAATCAAGTGTACATCTTGTAAATTATTTGATTCATTGGTCTATGAAGGGTGTGGGTGTGAATGAAGACAATGCATGCACACCCACACCCACACTCTTAATATACTGAAAGCTCATGGAAAACCGAACAATTTTTATATGGATCTTTTATTTGTATGTCACTTCGTTGTCCAGTAAAATGTTTAACTCTCAGATTACTCTAAAAAAAATTTCCATTTTTTGAAATTCCATAACGGTCAATATTTGTTTAATAACTCAGCTATGCCTGGATTAAACTCGATGAAACTTTTACTGATAATAAACCTAAGCGCTCTCTATCCATTATAAAAACTTCAGAAAGTTCACTTATATTATGACGAAGTTATAGATGTTAGAATGTAAAAAAAATGAAATCTCGTAAGGCGTGATCACATCGATATATATATATGAAAATAATCTCTCATCCATTTGAAATTCTATTATGTTCATTA